AGCTGGGAGATGTCTCATTTTAATCAGAAATTTCCGGACTACAATTGCACCTCATTAAGAAAGCTTTTAGTTATTCTCTAGAGTTTCTGGAAAACTGGTTTTCTAGGAAACTCAGTCTACCAAGGTCTAGAAGTAAAAGTCATTGTCATATTCGGATTCAGCACACCCGATTACCTGTTGTCCAGTGGGTCTTAGCCTAAAAGCGATTAGACAGGTGTCCTTTCCTCGTTAGTTTAATCCTAATCTTTCCAATATTGTCCCGTGTGAGCGCACTCAGTTTGTTAACTTAGTTTAAGAACTCAGTTTGGCTATTTGCCAACTTGGTTAAGTTAACCACGTTTATAGAACTCGGTTAAGGATCCCCTATTAAACATAGATCAATCAATGATTAGCTACATCTTCTACACATGCGTTATGACAACAGAAACAGAATAACAGAATAAGTCTCCTCATCGTTTCACTCAGTCGACTTAAAGAAGAATTTTTTGTAGGGAAATAGAATAAGCCTCTCTGAGTTTCACTCAGCCGGCTTAATTAACTTTTTGCTTCCTGCTCACTCTGAGATTTAACTCCAAGAAACTAAAAGTGAAGGACAAAATATTGCTAATTCTTCTGACTCCTTCAAAATTTGCATATCTACTTTCTGCTTCCATTCTATCACGAATAGCTCGCTATGTTAGAGGTATTCTTAGAGATTTTCACTTTCTTTGTCAGAGAGCTTCGCACGGCATTCACAATACCTCGCGTGCTGTCTAATTAATATTGACATCTTCTCAAGTGATAAAATATAATCAAATAAGAATTGAAAACCAGCAAATTTAATTAATGAAACAGTATGTTTTACCGCTACTTATCTTTTAATAATAAAAAGATCTGACAACTCTGTTCAAAATATGATCAAGAATACGTAGATGTTATCGAATTTTTTTATAGAAATTGATTAACAATGAGAGTTAGAAAAGTCAATATAACTGGACAATTTGAATTAATACTAACTACATTAACAATATTATTTTGGCAATTTATCGATCGTTGAATTTATTATAAATAGTCAAAGAAAACAATCAAAACGCTCATCCTCTTATGTGGTAAACATACATTTTTTCGTTACGCTACTCTAAACAAATCGAGATAAATTTATTTAAATTGTTGTTTGTTTGTTTATTTTTCTTTCAATATTTTCAGAATGCGAGCATTTACATCAATTCAATTATTGCATGTATATATATTTCTAACGGAATATGAGTTTTTCCTTCATATTTTATTATATTTTTCAAAGCCGTATAAACACGCATAATTATACTATTACGGTGTTATTCTTACAGTAGGATATGCCACAATGTCATTGAAAACATGTTCTTCATTTATCTTTTTATATGAAATTCATATATGAAGTCACCGTTGTGTGATATTAATATGCGATAGACACGTTCATGGTTTACCTAAATCCTATCAGAATCCATTGCGTATTTTCATGCAAATAGTGAAGATTATAGTATTATTAATAAAAAATTCTAAATAGACTAATTCCTTGCTGCACTTTGGTTACACAATATAAACACGTGATTTTATAAACGAGTGCACGTGCGAAGAGTTCAGATACAGAATTTGCATTAGTTAGTTTAAAAAATTCATTTTTTCGAATATGTAAGATTAAAAAGTATCAATATCTAGTAGAAATATGAACTAATCCAGAAATCTATTTTTAATGATTAAAAACCGAAGAAAACTGTGTGATACGATTCGCTCTCTCTCAATCAATGTTTATAATTCAATATTATATTACATCAAGCTTCAAAAATCTATCTTCTATTGCTGTATAAAGTTCTCTATCTTGTTCTTTTCAGGCCTAAACACATATTGAATGCATAGTCATCATATTAACTATAACCCTAGAAAAAAATTCATTTCCATCATCGTGTAACACGAAGAAAACAATATTTTTTCGCGGTCTTTAATCACTACATTTCAATTATAAATAGCAAGAAAAGGCGAGCTAATATTGTTTTTTTGTTTTTTGTGACATTTTTTTTTCACTATCTTCATATTTTCCCTCAAAAACGCATAGATAGATTGCTTAGAGAAATCAGTCTTAAGAGATTTCTTTTTTTTTTTCTTACCACAGTACGTCGCGTATTTCTCTTTTTTCTTTTTATTTCGCTAAGTTTTCTAATTTGGAAGAGAATTTTGAGAAAATGTAGGAAACCTCCAGTCTAAATTACTTTTTTTCTGAATAAGAACGGGCAAACCACTTCTCTTTTTGTATATTAATCAATATGAATATAGATGCAGGAATTTTTTTCTTCTCATCTCAATCCGTCCTAGTATAGATACACAATTTACGTTAGTGTTTTTGAACACATAGACACAGAAAAACAAAGAACAAATCTACCATCTTTAGATTTCTACTTAAGCAGTATTAATTTGTGTTTTTTGTTTAACAAACACTTTTTGACAGATGCTGCAAACAATCGCTCTCTTCCTTCTTATACTGGGTAAGTTGAAATCAGCTGAGTATGAAAAAAAAACATATGGTTACTTACTGTTGTATATACATCTCACGACAAATACTTCAAGAAAGGATTTAGAATAAAAATAATCTGCAATAAAACCTCTTATAGAATATCTCTATACTAAGAGAATTGAATATTCTAGTTTTAGCGTATTTACCATCAACCATAAACGGTGATATTCAAGGCGAAAGCTCTACGACTCCACATGCGGTAGGGGCTGAATTACCCCCAGCTGCAGATGGAGAGAATCAACGACAATTAAAACAAGCTGAAATTATCAATGATTTAAATGCAACTTCTCCAACAATCACAGTACTAGATTCTCCAACAGAATCGACACCTGCAGCTTTTAGTTGTAAAAAGTGCCACGATTGTGTAAAACATATGAGAGCAAAAGATATGGAACAGGAAGTTTGTGGTGAAGGTGTTAAACTTTGCTATGTAAGTTTATCCAAGGAAAAACAACGGACTTTGGACTTTTATAGATTTTATTGAATTTACATGGACTTTGATGAACTTCCAAAGTCTGTCAAAGTCCAAAATTCGCTGTTTTTCACTTGAAGTTTATCCTTATTTCCGCTTTATTATCACCATGCAATTTGTGATTTTAGATAAAGGAGACACGCGGTGGGAATAATACGGTAAGGATTGACCGTGGTTGCGCTTCAGCAAAAGTTGCATGCCTCCCGAGTGAAGAAAGTGTTGGTAAACCTAACTATCACTCAATAACGTGTTGTACTACATCTGACTGTAATAGTGCTAACACATTTATAATGCATCATCAATACATCTTTCTATATTCGTTTGTCAGTGGTTTATTTATTCTACATAAGTAAACAATAACAACGAAAATACTTCCTCCAAGACTTCATCCATGCTGGTAATGGAAGTCTTAAACACGAATATTTTACTTTTTTCGCATATTGCTGCGTAATCTACTACGATATTTCTAAACAACACTCTGTATTCTTGCGTTAACTCAATTTATTCTGTTTGTTTTTTGTATATAATGTTAGGTTTAGAGTTACAGATTTGAACTTTTTCTATGTTGTATAATTTCTGCATTGTAATGCAGATAAAAGTTTCATTCCAGAGCAGATGAATAGCAGATAAAAATGCTAACCTTCTACTTCCCCATACTTTCAAAAATAATTTGTGTTGTGTATTTTTTTTGATAGCCTAGCTAATATTATGACGCAGCTCTGATATACTTATAAATCAAAGTGTAAAACACTGCTTCTATATTTATGTATACATGATGTTACTTGTATTGTTAACCTTTAGTAATCCTTTTTCTTTTTATGGAACTTTTCGTCTTCAATAAGAAAACGTAGTTCATTAAAGCGGATAATTGGATTTGTACGAACACTACTGAATTTCAGTATCTTCTGTATGTAGGTACTAATATAAATATGATAATAATCAGAGAATATAACGTATATAAATATATCTCTAAATAATATTTAAAAAAATCTTATCAGAAAAATACTTCAGATATGGGACAGGCTCAATTAGTGATTTACATTCGGTTATCTATGAAACTAAATCCATCTCATATTTTCTTCAAATAATCAAATATCTTTTAACATACTTAATGCTATAACGGTAGAACAACGATGATTATCAAAAACAATTTATATTTTGAATGATTGTCTCATCTCAAAAATAGTTAGTAAAAAATCTTACAAGTTTTCGTACAAAAAACAATAGTGACATATTCAGTCGGACAAATCAATCAACATAGTATTTATACGCTACAGAGATAAAATGTTTAAAAAAACAAATTCAATCTGGTTTGAACTGCGAAATACTCTGTCAGTCATACCATAACAAAACTTGACTGCACAAGAGCCATGACCACACATGCTCAAGAACCATGCTCATCTTAGATTTTTTCAAACTAATCTCATTTTGTAGCTCATTGTGAATTACCTACAACCAAGAAAATTATAATTTTTCTCTCGCATAATGCTAAGGAATGAAAGCACGATATTACAGGGTAAATAATACTATATGTCTGCTTTATAGAGACGTGTTCAAAGTACGTTACCATCTACTTCATGACCCTTGTCGGTAATCTTAACTGTGTTCCTGGGGCTAATTTCCTCGGAGCTGCGAAAACAAAAATATCATGGAGAAAACTAAGGACAAGAAAATTATAATTTTTCTCTTACATAATGCTAAGGAATGAAAGCACGATATTATAGGGTAAATAATACTATATGTCTGCTTTATAGAGACGCATTTAAAGTACGTTACCATCTACTTCATGACCCTTGTTGGTAATCTTAACTGTGTTCTCTGCGGCTAATTTTATTCGATGTCCTCTCCGAGAACAATAAACTAGGCTCGATTTCATTCGATAGCAGTGATCTTATATTAGCTAAAGTCAACAGTTTGAGTCTATTCAAAAATACTAATTAAAAAACTTTCTTGTCCTTAGTTTTCTCCATGATATTTTTGTTTTCGCAGCTCCGAGGAAACCATTCTTAGTTCAGGAATGAAAATTCTCGAAATGCCACCACTTAAGGGTTGTAGATAACTTACAATGAGCTACAAAATGAGATTAGTTTTGAAAAAAATCTGAGATGAGCATGGTTCTTGAGCATGTGTGGTCATGGCTCTCGTTTTCTTTTGTTGTTATTTTTTTCTTCTATACTCTCTTTTCACGGTTGTTCTCTTTTCCGCGTGGTGGCACTTTATTTACAAGCCTTTGGTTTTTTTGTGCTTTCCTTTGTTACGAGATGTTTTCTTGAGCATAAAATAAACTTTCAAGTTTCTTGTGCGATGAATCTTAAGCGTATACCCTTCCCTCTTTTTTGACCTTCTTGGAAACCGAGGAAGTCGATGTCGCATCGGATCGAAATTTATACCAGAGATAGAACATTGAAAAAGAAAATCGATGTATTTTTGCCTAGAATTGTCTGACGTGTTCTTCTATGAGTTTTCTGGAAAACTCCAGTTTTTATCAGGCCACATTACGACCCCCGAGAAAATGGTGCGATCGAGCTCAAAATTCTACCACAGATACCTCAGGTCCTATCTCAGGTTCGTTTTTTTTTTTCGAAAAATATTCTTTCATTCTCGAGATATTCGAAAAATACTAAAAGTCCCATATAAAAAACGGGTTTTTCATTTTAAAAATCTTTTCACGCCGAAAGTTGAAATCGAAAACGCTGTAAAAAAAAATGAACATGAGATGGGATCTGAAGTATCTGTAGTAAAATTTTGAGCTCGATCGGACCATTTTTTCGAGGGGTCGTAATGTGGCTCGATTGAAGGGACTACCGACAAAATGCATAGTGAGAAAAACACATATTGTACACAGGACTCGGTTTTTCAGGGCATTTGCGGTGATGCTTATATCTCCACAAAAGCTCATTGAAAAATTCTGTGAGACGTCTTATTTTGAAGAGTACACTTTCTTCTATCATACCATTTATCAGAAAAAGCTTTAAATGTAGAGACAAGGAGAGGAAGATTTACGAAACTGAAAACCTGAGATTTTCCAGGCTTTGAAGGAAAAACTTAAAAACTCCACATTTCAAGGAAGGCCGTGGAGATGAAGTGGTTTGATACTGGCAGTAGTCTGATTTTATAGCCCAGACTTTCCTCTACATTAGACTGTGTTCAGTTCAAAATGCAAAGTTTTCTGTAAAAAAGAGGTAAGGGGAGGGTACCTTTAAGCAGATGGAAAAAACACATATGTAATGGTTGGATGACGCATTAAGGGTATCCTCCTCTTTTTTCACCTTATTTGCCAAATGCGTAGCGCACGTCCGATTGAGCTTCAATTTATAGCAGAGATAGAATATCGAAAAAGAAAATCGACGTATTTTTGCCCAGAATTTTCTGACATGTTTTTCTATGGGTTTTCATCGGGTCACATTAAGACCCCTCAAAAAGATGGTCCGACCGAGCTCGAGAAGAAAAGCATATTTTTCGGAAAAAAATTATACCCTGAGATAGGATCTGAAGTATCTGTGGTAAAAATTTGAGCTCGATCGGACCATCTTTTCGAGGGGTCGTAATGTGACCCGATGAAAACCCATAGAAAAACATGTCAGAAAATTCTGGGCAAAAAATACATCGATTTTCTTTTTCGATATTCTATCTCTGCTATAAATTGGAGCTCAATCGGATGTGTGTGTGCTACGCATTTGGCAATAAGGTCAAAAAAGAGGGGGGTACCCTTAAGCCATCGCTTTGCGACATGTTTTGCCTATTTCTTCTTTTTTTTTGTTTCCCTCGTACCTTTAATTTGACAATACGCGTAGCGCGATTTTTTTATCAATGAATTCAGTCGTGAATAACACAAAGAAAAGACCATTTATTCGAATACACCTACGATCACTCCAAACAAGTTGTTGAGTGATTTTGGAGTACTGTTTAAAAGAAACCTATAGCGTATAAAACAGATATCGATTTTGACATTTGCTCTTAATAAGCATCGATACCCTTATCGCACAGTCCTGTTAATACGCAGAATACGCTTGAACGTTTTCACGTCGTACAGTAACAGATTTATTCTGCATATTAACAGGACCATGCGACAAGAGTATCGACGTTTATTAAGAGCAAATGCCAAATCCGATAAACGGTGGATCGTGAGAGAGTATATCACCATTTCTCTGTATTGTGGACAATAATACGGACATTTAGCCGACTTTTTTTTATTCAGCCTGGGAGAGAATACATAAAGTTTCAAAGTTATCGTTTTGTTTTTTTCGAATTTTTCCAGTTGCATAGGTATTTAACTCATTATATAAAATTGGTATCCAAGTTATTAATTACGTCCCTTTTCACCGTAATTAGAATATTAATTTATTTTCTAGTCGAAGAGATACAATATTATTTGAATGAATTACACGAAAAAACTTATTTCCTGCACTAATCATCTATCATATGTTTGACGTAATACTTCAATAATACGTTTTCTGTGGATTAAATCTTGCTGGTGAACATTTTTGTTACTACTTAAATCTTGATCAATATGAAATAAACGTTTCATTAATATACCTGTATGAACATCATCTTTATCGCCTGGTTTCAAATCACCATTTGAATCTTCTGCACCTGTTTTATAATCTGGTACTTCGGTTTGTCTACCAAATAATTTTTTTATTTTTGAAAACCGATTTTTGATAGAATTTTTGAAATTAAGATATAGATTGTGTCCAAAACTCATGCCAGATGAAACCGAATTTGTAAAAAAATGATATTTACGAAATTTATCAACAAATCCTTGAACAATCATTTTTGACTTTGATGGATGAATATCAAATAATTCGGCATAATCTTGATCGCCTAAATCTCGTCTTAAATCATTAAAAAACTTTTCAGTTTGATTTGTAGCTAGATCGGCAGCATCATAGTGTAAATAATGATGAGGAGAATAAATTGCTGAAAGTTAAAGACAAAATTAGTGTTTTTTGCAGGTTTAAATTGAAATATTTACCTGAGACGGTGTCTTTGTTAATACCACCGACAGCATTCACATACGACGATCTAAAAAACCAATTAGGATACATTTACTCATCATTTCATACTTTACGTTCATCAGACTTGTTCTCTGTAAGCAATTTTTATATAAACAGAAATATATCGATTTGCTCTATCTTTAAGAAAATGAAAAGTTATACATACGTGTCCAGTACACCACCTGCAAAGCCAGAAAGAATTTTATTTATTACCAAAGAGAAGAACTATAAATTACGAACCATGACTGCATTTTTCAACATTTTTTGGTTTGAAAATTGCTTGTCCAAATTCATTAAATTGATTGATTGAAAATCCTATAATGAAAGAAAAAGTGTTATTTACAACGAAATTTATCCTACAATAGTAAATCAAGTATTACCTGATGTTAAAAGACCTTGTGTAATTATTTCTTGTCTTATATTATTAATACAATCAAAATAAATTAATGGACATTTGTTAAGTGTCAACTTTTGATAGGGACCACATCGTACTTTTGTTTTTAAACATCCCTCATTGGTACATGTCGATTGATTTGGAGAAGCCACTTGTCCAATAATTAATTCAACACCCAATTTATCATTAATAACAGTTTTTCCCAATTCTAACCAATTTGAATGTGAATAAAAATCTTGAAGTGTATGTAATAATTGTCCAATATATTTTCTCGCTTCTTTATACTCTTTTTTCTCTTTAACATCATCAATAATTAATTTGCGAATAGTCAATATTCGTCGACTACCATTGATAAATGCTTCACTATCAAAATGTGCTGCTGGTAATTTTTTTGTAGCATTATTAAAATCGACTAATGCATTTTCAACGAGAATAACATCAATAACAGATTTTATTGGTGTTGTATATTTCTGAGCCTCTTTATCGTTAACATTGTAATAGAGTTTATATAGATCATTAATGGTGTACGATTTAGATAGATCAATTTTTGTTGCATCATCAATATGATCCTTAAAATATTTAGTTAAACTTCTTAAAAATCCAATTTGAGTAATTTCTGTATGTGTGATTGAATCACCAGCACGACCACCAACACGAATTGCAGGATGTGGAATAAAAGCCTGTACAAGAAGAGATGAATTAAGTAGAAACGACAGTATATTAATAATAATAATAATATTAATCATTTTTTAATTATTTACAATTGAAATAGGAGCAAAAAATTTTTAATGACTGAATAAGAATGTAAATTGAACAATTTATTAGAAAACTTTAAACAATTTCTTATGCTAAAAATTAAAAATATAATAATTTTGCACACAATATACTGGGCAATACTCGTGGTTACAAACAGTGATGGAAAATAAAAGAGAAAAACTTTTAAAAGTCTTTAAATTACAAAAATACAGCACAATAACATATACAATAGACTTCATTTGAATGTTTGTGAGTGAGCATAAGCTTATAAAGATATGATTTATATTTAGTATACATGTTTTCAGTTTTGAAAAGAATATTCTCTTGTTCTCATGGTGCTCATTACTTGACTCTTAATGAAGCGCACTTATCAGTGTTTTTTGTCTTCTTTTGACTATATCAATCATACGTCTTCTACAGCGGTGTAACCAGGATTTTTAGTCCAATGGGCAAACTTCTATTGTATCGGAAAAAAACGATGGGCAAAATGGGCAAGGTTTTTGTCGATGAGCCAAAAGATTTTTGGTCCAAAAAGAACACAAAAAAATGAAATGAGATTCTTTTAATTTTTGAATTAGATTCTAATTCAAAAATAAACAAACAATTCTGTCTATAGGCACTCTTACATATA